CAAAGTTGTCATATTTCGAACTTGGGTCCATTGTGGCTGTATAGCCCAGGCCGAGACAACGAGGTTTGCCCGAGAAAACATGATGGTGCCAGCCTTGCTGAAGGTCGGGCAGCAGAATGTCATTCTTACAGATGGAATTTGTGAACATTCCTGTCAAAGGCTGTGAAACTGCAAGATGTGTATCCTCAGAGCTGATCTTAAAAACGGTCTCCAAACACTGAATGGCAACTTCCAAGCTTTCTTGTTCATCAAATGTGTAAGTGTCCGCCTGACTTTGTTCTTGTAAAAAACAAATAACTGCAAAAATGAGGTGCTTGACAGATGATGACATTTTAGAAGTTTAAACACATCTTCCGGTTAGAAGTTACAAGATAGATGCTGGCAGTTGTCTCGCAGGCTTCCGTAGTCCGTTCTGCCTGCCCCCACGTCCTCAGGGTTTGAGGCTGGCCTCTGAACTGCAAAGCAGCAACAGTCACCCAAACTTCCTCAGCCCCCTAGCCACTTCCACCGCCCCCTCAGCCACCCGTAAAGTCTAGAGAATCTTCTTTTTCGAATGATCCCCTACCAAGTATGTTTTTCTCCAACGACGCACTCTTTCTGATTACATGCCCAGAGTATGTGAGACAAAGTCTCACCATTCTTACTTCTCAGGCAAATCATGGTTGTACATCCTTCAAGGAAGATTAGCTTGTTTTCTTAGCAATCCATGGTATAATTAACATTCTTCGTTAGCACTATAATTCAAATGCATCAATTTTCCTTCCGTTTTCCTTATTCATTGTCCAAGTTTTGCAAGGACAATGGTGAGTGACAATACCATGGTTTGGGTCAGATAACTGAAAGTATCCAGGTTTGGGTCAAGCACACTTTAGTACTCAAAGACACCTTTGTGTTTAAGCACTTTAAAGAAATCTTTTGCAGATTTGCCCAACGCATTTGACGCATAAGGAAGCACTTGATTTCTTAACTGCTGCTTCCATTGTGGTTGACTGTAGATCCAAGTAAAATGAAATCCTAGACAATGCCAGTATTATGTGTCTATTATGACGCTAGTTATTGGTCAACTTGTGAGGATTTTTGTTTTAGGTTGAGGGAAGGAACTCTGATGGTCTAGTCCATAGGGAGTTGTGCTAGCTGTACTGATGGGGGAAATGAGCAATTTCCTTCCATGCTATTTACAGCCTTGGACATCTAATGGATGGTCAAGCTATTAGTATGTACTAATCGGTTCAAACTTGACAGCAATGAGTTCGTTAATTTAGTTACACTGAAGTCTAATCTGTACTAAAGGTTATATAGTCTCTAATCTTCATAAGTAAGTGCTTCAAGTCTTCTTCACTTTCAGAAAGCAAGGTTGTGTCATCTGTATATTGCAGGTTGTTAATAAATCTTCCTCCAATCTTGATGTGAAGTTCTACAAATAGCACAGTTTCTTGGATTATTTGAATAATCTGAAGATTGTGTGCATCTCTGCATTGTAGCTCTGGTTGTACGGTCTGTAGGGAGTTGCATTCATTGCTAACCCAAAGACCTCTCTGGTGAACTGAATTCACTAGCCACTCCTCAGGAGAAAGATGAGCAGTTTCCTCATGAGTGATTTATAGCCTCTGAAAACCCATTACAGGGTGAGCAATGAGTCCGTTCTGCCTCTATAATAATGATTGGATCCTGATGTTTCACTAAACTGAGTGGAGTCCTTATAAAAGAAAGGGAGAGGCAGAGACACAGGGAAATGGCTATGGGAAGATGCATTTACAAGTCAAGAATTGGCTGGGGCTACCAGAACTTGTTATACACAAGAATGGATCCTCCTTTAGGGACTTGAACAAGGACATGGCTTGACTGCCATACTGTTATGAACTTCAACTCTTTAAAAGTGTGAGGTAATACATCTGGGTTCTTTTATTACCCAGATTATGATACTTTGTTATGTCAGCTATAATTATAGAAGCTGCTCCTTTCAGGTAAAGAGTTGGTCTCATATACTTCAGTCATGCTGTCAGGAAGGATCAGTCCTTGGAGAAGGGCATCAAGCTTGGAAGGGTGGAGGACAGGAGAGGAAGACCTCAGATGGGATGGATTGACAGAGTCACTGGGATAATAGGGGTAGGTATGTCAGAGACAGTGAGAGTGGTTCAGTAGAAGACAGGGTTCAAAGCTATTGTATATAGGGTTGCTGAGTTGCAGGAGACACCTAACAATATATCTTTTTTTTTTAAAGAGGGATCTATTTATTTCTTAATTTAAATTTTTTAAAAAATTAACAATGTATTTCTTAAGCACTGCATGTGAAGAACTTGCTAACTAGTTACTGTAAAAATTATTTTAAAAATCTAGCTTATAATTCTGTGTCAAAGAGGAAGCCAAAAGATGTTCAAAGTATAAATTTATGATAAATTAAAAGAAAATATTAAAGTGATACATCATCTCACCTCAAGAAAGGTAATGGTCAACAAACCAGAAAAGACTATAAAACCTTCAGCATCGATTACACCTCAACAGTAAGACAAATCCCTACAGCATGAGTTCACAAACTTGTCTGCACCTCAGAATCACCTCACAATCTTTTATAAATGTCATAGTTTAAGTCATGCTGTACACCAATTATCTCACAATCTTTGGGGAAAACTTACAAGCAACAAATTTTCCCCCTAATTTTCCATGAGGTTTTTTATTTTCTTTTTTGATCATTTATTATTAATTTTAATGAAAATTTACAGAGACTTTGGATTTTTATCATTAATTGTTGCACTTTTCACCCTGCCCACCCTTCCCTCCTCCATGAGGTTTTAATATATAGAAAAGTCTGGGAGCCACTGCAATAGAAAGAGCAGTTAACAAAAATGTCAAGAAAATCCAGTTTGAGCAAGCTAATTAATTCTCAAGTAGTCCAAGGGGCAGAATAGCTGGAAGTTATAATATTGAATGCTCTTTGAAATACAGCATGCTAAGGGAGCTCTGGTGGCTTAGTGGCAAGAAGCTGCACTGCAATCCCAGAGGCATGTGGTTCAAATACACCAGATGCTCTGCTGGAGAAGGAGGGGCAATCTCCTCCTGTACCAGTCAGATCCGATTTGACAGTACACACACACAAAATAATGAAATAAAATTTAAAAAAAACAAAAAAAAATACAGCATGCTGTCTCTTTATATGCATCTTTCACATGTTTTCATTAATATTATCCCCACTACATGGAATATCCACACTGGTTCACTGGACAACTTCTACCTGGTTCTAAATCTTCCTTTCATTTCTCATAGGCAGAAACAAAGATTCTTCTACAATCCTCCCATTAGACTTTGTATATACTTTAAAAACAAGAGTATGAATTAAGACATGGTCAATTATGTTATCAATTCAGTAATGTATTGGGAATTGAAAAAAGGAACTATAGCATATTGTTGTTGTTATGTGCTGTCAACTTGCTTGTGACTCATAGCAACCCTATATACAACAGTTCTGAACCCTGCTCTATCCTGAGTCAATTTCATAGTCTCTGACACACCCCCATTACTGCAGTCACTGAGTCAATCTATCTCATTAAGGGTCTTCCTCTCTTGGGTTGTCCTTCCACCCTTCCAGGCATGATGTCCTTTTCCAAGGACTGGTCCCTCATTGCAACATGTCCAAAGTATCAGAAGAAGCTTCAAATTCCTTACCTTTAAGGAGCAGCCTGGTTTCACACTCTCCCATATGAATCTGTTTGTTCTCCTACCAGTCAGTCTACGATATATTCAATATCCTTTTCTAGCACCACAGCTCAAAGGCATCAATTATTCTTCTATCATCCTTAGTCATTGCCTAGCTTTCTGATGTACAGCAAATAATTGGTAAGACTATGACTTGGGTCAGCACACCTCAGTCACTAGACTGATGCTGTTGCTCTTCAGTACTCTGGAGAGGTCCCTGATAGCAGATTTTCCCAATGCATTTTGTCTTTGGATTTCCTGGCTTCTGGTACTAAGACTGTTGATTGTGGATCCAAGCAAGCTGAGGCTGTTAACAATCTCAATCTCTTCACTGTCTTATCATTATGCTGCCAATTGGCCCGGTGGTGAGAATCTTTGTTTGTTTTTGTTTTTTTATATATTGAGCTTTATTCCATGTTGAAAGCTGCAGTCTTTGACTTTCTGCAGCAAATGCCTCAGGTTCTCCTCAGTTACAGCAAGCAAGATTGTGTAATCTGCATAACACAGGTATATCGATGAGTCTTTCTCCAATCCTGATGCCACATTCCTCCTCCTCCTGGATGATCTTTTCTTCGCATAGATTGAAAACGTCTGGAGATAAGATGCAACCCTGGTGTACACCTTTTCTAATTTTGAACCATCCTGTGTTTCCTTACTGTGTTCTGATAATTGCCTCAATGATCCAAGTACAGAATTCATATAAGCACAATCAAATGTTCTAGAATTCCCATTCTTCTCAGAGTTAGCTATAGTCTGTTGTGATCCACACAGTCAAATGCTTTTGCACGGTCAGTGAAACACAGACTTTTTGCTTTCAGCCAAGATCCATCTAACATTGGCTATAATATCTCTAGTGCCACAGACTCTTCTAAACCAAGTCTGCACGTCTGGCAGTTCTCTGAATGTATATAAATATGCCCATTTAGGCATTCTGAATTTTAAAAAAGTTAAGATATTTCAAAAGTAAGGCTTCAATTCAGGGAAATACAGCATATTTTGCATTTACTATTATATGAATTTAATGCAATTTTTAGAAACAAAAAATGTGATTATACTGCCATTTTACTTTTGGAAAAAACCACACATTGGTATATGGCTCACCATAACGATTTTGATTATAACTTTAGAAAGAGGTAAAAAGTTTCTAACATCCAAACCACAAACTACCAAGAAAAGATTATCCTTTTTTAAAAAAATAAATTTTTATTTTCTAATGATTTACTTACAAGATTATATTTTTTTACAAACTGGTAGAACTAATTTATCATATATTAATCTTATTTCTATGTATAAATATTAAACTTGCTTACCTGAGGAGTGAATAAGGCTGTGTTTGAAAGATCAATAAATCATTACAGTGACCCTATCAACAAAAAAGACAGAACATTAAAGCTTTATCAGGTTTACTTTTTAACAACAATCACAGAATTTTAATATTTAATATTTTTTAAAAGTTTATTTTATTTTATTATTTGTACGTGTGTACTGTCAAATCAGATCTGACTGGTACAGAAGGGGACTGCCCCTCCTTCTCCAGCAAAGCGTCTGGTGGATTCGAACCGTGTACCTCTGGGATTCCAGTGCAGCTTCTTGCCACAGAATTTTGATAATTTAATGTTTCATTTTTTAAAATTTAAAACCTATAAAATAGCAAAGAAATCTCTCTCTAGCTGCACTCGTATCTCATGGACCAAATTTTCACTAACCATAATCTAGATAGAGAGGTCTGGTGCCTAGCCCATAGAGAGTTGTGCTAACTTAAAGACTGTATCTCTCCAGAGATTCAAACCCACAAGCAGCTCTGTGACAGTAAAAGGGGCAATTTCCTCTTGTGTGGAGAAATTTAGTGAAGGTTCAGTTTGGTGTCATTCCAACTCTACAACAATGAATTTTAATTCTGAGTAGTCTATATAATAGCAAACTTAAACACACACACACACACACACACACACACATCCAAGGGGTGTTTTTTTAGACCAGAATTTCAAAATGCTGATATTTTTAAGAAATTTTTTTCAAATTATTTGTACCACAATAAATTTAAAATTTAAAAATAATATAATATACCTGGGACATTTTAAAAACAATGATTATAGAGTATAAAAGCTAATGTAGAGAAGAATTGATAGAAACTTCCTCAAGTTATCACCAATTTCATGAGGACAGAGACACCAATAAGCAAAGTAATACTAAGAAAAATAAAGTAGGAAGCCTCACATTTCATGATCTCAAAATCAACTCTAAGGTCATAGTAAATCAAACACCTTGGCACTAGTACAACTACAGGTACATAATCAATGACACAGAATTGAGAACACAGAAGTAAATCCATCCACTTACGGACAACTGATCTTTGACAAAGAAATATAATCATCCAAGTAGGAGGGGAAAAGATGACTTCTTTAACAAACATTGCTTGCAAAACTGGATTATATCTATTTGCAGAAAACGGATCCAAAGTCCCTATTTCACAACACATACAAAACTAACCAATGATGGAACAAGGACCTCACAGTAAAATCTAAAACACTGAAGATCATCAAAGATAAAATTAAGACAAACTTAGAAACCTTAACCTATGGCATAGACTATCAAATATAACTGAAATTGTATAAGCAACAGAAGAAAAACTAGATGTGTGAGACTTGCTACAAATGAAATTTCATATATATATCAGAGTTGCAAGCGACTCGACGGCACATAACAACAACAACAACAACAACATGTCAGAAGACTTCCCTAGAAGAGTAAAAAGAGAACCCACAGATTAGAGTTGGCACCAACTCATAGCCAGCCCTCCAGTGGGTTTTCAGAGGCAGTAAACCACACAGAAAGAGACTGACCATCTTTGTTTCATGGAGCAGCTGGTGGCAGCACAGCTCCTTATCATTAGGCCACCAGAGTTTCCTATCAGAGCAGTTAGGATTTATAAGATAGAGGGTAGTGACACTACACTGAGGATCATGACAACACTGACACATGATACAAACCGTAACAATGAAAAAAAGGAGGCTCTACATTAGAAATATAAAGAAATCAAAAGGGACAATACCTGATATAAGAAACCCACTGGAAGAATTTAATATTTAATTAAACAAAAGAATCATTAGAGAATACAGAATTATTTGTATGTTACTCTTACAGGTATACTTTGTAAAATGTTAATATTCATAGTAACCACTAAGAACACATCTTCTAAAAATACACAAAAGCAAAGGAGTAAAGTGACCAGTACAATAAACTGACAAAACACAGCAACAAGTAAAAAGGCAAAGAAGTCACTTATTTTTGTAATTGTATGGAACAGAAATAGAGTGAGTGTTGTAATATAAAGGCAGAAAATAACAGAAAGGACAAAACAAACAAAACATGATACAACTATAAGCTTTTACAAGAGGATAGAAAAAAAAAATAATTCCCTGCAAATAACAACAAAAGACAGTTTGAGTTGCAGTGTCAATATCAGGCAAAGTAGCAATAAACAAATATGCCTGAAGAGATGGAGATACTATATAGTGGGAAAAGGCCAATGAATAAAATTTTAGAAAGTGTTACTATACATGAAGCATCAGTAGAGCTAAAATTATGAAGCTAACACTATGGTGTGCCTGATCCAAGCCCTGATTTTCTTCAATTACTTTCTAATGCATCTGAGTGTTGGACTCGAATAAGGAAGACCAAAGAAGAATCCATGCCTTTGAGTTATTATGAGTATTAATGAAGAGTACTGAATATTTCATGGGCTGCCAAAAGTACAAACAAGTTTTGCCTTAGAGGAAGTATGACCAGGTTGTTCCTTGGAGGCAAGGACCGTGAAACTTGGTCTCACATTTTTTAGGTGTGATGTTACGAAGGACACTGGTAGAGGACATTATTCTGCTTGGGAAAGACAGATAGTAAGAGAAAGAGAAAGACACTCCCCTCCACAGAAGAGAGATTGACCCAGTGACTGTAACAATAGGTGTGAGCCTATCAGAGACCATGAGAATGGCTTAGGACAAAGCTCAGATCTATTGTTCATAGTGTCATTGTGAGTCACAGAAGAATTGATGATAACAGCAACACACAGATGAATCTAGAACAAATTATCCTGAGAACATAAGGACAATTACTGGACCATTAATAAAAAAAAATTTAAAGAAAGGTTATATATAGATAGGACCAATCTTAGAAAGTTAATAGGGATGAGAAGAGAGGGAAGGGTGAGTAAAATGTATAAATACTTAAGTTGGGTTAAGGGAAAGGAAATACATAATGAGCATTTGATTAGACATTATAATTAATTAGTTATAATAAAGGTTATAAAAGAAAATGTGAACTACTGAATGATAATGAAATACTATTTATAAACTTTTACTCAAAAATTTTAAAAGACATTTTTAAATAGCTTTAAAATAGGTCTTTACAGTTTAATAGTTTCTAAATAAAGGATCCTAAATAAAGATTATTATGACAAGAAAGAAAAAGAAGTCACAAAATTTTATTTTACTGAAATGCAAAGCTGTGGTTAAGCTTTCCTTGATAAAGAGAATATTCAGCCAAGAAAATTCTAAAATTTTCAATACACATAACTGAAAATATTTTTAAATGAAGGCTCTAGAACTTTAAAATTAACTAAAGTCTCTGAAGAGAAGCTACATGCTTTCAGGTTTCCACCGGCACAGGAGGTAACGGTGCCTGAAGAGACGAAAGGGCATTGGCACCTGGCTTGTTCTGCAAACCTTTTCACAAAATTCTTTCTGCCTTTCATAAGGAAAGACCAGTTAATCCTGAACTTTTGACCTTTACAATGTGACTATCCTGTTGTGAATTTCCAAGGTGTTAGAAATAAAAGAATAACTAGAAAGAAAAGAACAACAATCTATAGTAAAAAAAAAAAAATTTCTTGAGCTTTTTGAATCACCAGAATAAAGAAGCATCGAACTGCAAAAAAAAAAAAAAATTTCTTACTGTATCCAAGGAAAGTAAGTTATCTTTGCTCCCACCAAATACCATTATTTCATTTTCTTTTCCCAAACAGGCTGTGTGCCACAACCTGTAATTGAAAATTATAAACAGTAAAATTATTATCAAGGAAGAATTAATTGTACATTAAACTCAACTTGAAACTGTACTGTAAAATTCAATCTCTTTTAAAAAGAGGAACCACTGAACTCAAATGTTTGGCATAAGAGGCTAGATTTTAAGGGTTTCAAGGCAGTTCAAATCCACCAGCAGCTGCTCTGCAAGAGAAAGATGGGCAATCTCCCATTCAATTCACAGTCTCGAAAAACTCATTTGAAGGTTAGGTATGAGTTGGTTCTGACTTGATCATGATGAGCAAATAGTTTATTAAATCATATTGTTTCAATTAAGGATATGATTCTCAATGGGTCTTCCCCTCAACCATTTCCCAATTTATCTCATGGATGTTATTATTTCAATATTCATGTTTTAAAAGAAACTGATCAGCTTACTGCTCAAGCAGATTCTTTGCAGATTTTTTATTACTATCTTTGGTGTTACTGTTCTCTCCACCCCCCACCCCACCCCCCGCTTTCTGCTCCCCCTTATCTGACATCCCCAATTGGAACTCCCTCTCCCTATTCATTTTCACATTTCTTATCACTCTGGGTACAGAATATCATGTGCTCGTAAGGTTTTTTGGTGGTTGGGTTTTTTTCTCCTGTGTCTCTAATCTTTTCAAATATTGTTTTTGACCATGGAAATTACTTGATTAGGAAGGATCTCTGTTACCAGGAGCTTCTGTTCTAGTCTATTATTTGTGATAAACAGTATTCTTTTCCCTATTAACCATCTTACTCCATGCTTCTCCCTATATGAAACTTTTACTTGATTAAGTTCATTTATTTGTTCCCAAAGAGAAAGATGTTAACCACTCTCAGGTCTCTGATTATCTGGTTTCTCAAACCGGGTATGCTCAAAATAATATGTCATTCTCTCGTGGCCTTAAAAGATGTTCAAATCCTCCAAGAAATGCTCAAACACATGACAATTTGCCTGCCAACACCTTTATTTGATAATTTATACTCTCTTAATATAATTTGACAATAAGCTGCTCTGTATTAAACCTGATCTGCTTGCTGTGTGTGCCCCTAGCTTTCTTGAAGTAAGAAATGGACAGTAGTAGTGTGCTCCTAACCAGCTCATCAGATAGCTGAAATTATTTCCATTTTTAGTGAAGTCATGCTGGCAGCTTGAAATTGGTCATGACAGAAATATGATGCTATGAGAATTCTCTTTCTTTTCTTTTACAAGAGTAGGATTTTAAAATGTTTCGGTTTTTTTGTTTTGTTTTGTTTTGTTTTACTTGAGACTAGGTGATTTATGCTTTTCTGCACAAAAAAAGTTTTTTAATATGAGATTCTGTACCCAGGACTTGTTAAAAAAGTATTCCTTAACAAAAGCATCCAAAAATACCAAGAGACTCTATTTGATTATTAAATATACAAGTTCTTACATAAAAAAGTAGAACATTAAATGTTCTGTTGGAAATGGTTTGAGAGCTCTTATCCATCTCCAATTTTCCTTGTTTAACTACAATAATTTTATGGTTTTATAAAATGCAATGTTTCAGAAAGCTTTCTTAGAAAAAAAATATGTTTTCTCAGATTTTACAAAGTCACCGCTTTGATTCTGAGAGTAATTTGATTCCTTTTCTTAGTAGACCATATTGCTGAAATAAGAAATATAAAAAACCACTACATGTGTATTTTATGAGAACATAATACATTTTTAGTATATCAATCCTTCTTTATTAATTTCTACAAGAGCTATCATGCCCAATTTTTTTTAAAACCAAATACTTTACTCAAATCATTATGCATTGATCAATTACAAATGCATTTGACACCCAGGCTAGAACTGAGTTATCAGAAATTTTGTTTGGTAAATACTCTGCCCAATTCTCCAACTCCTATGCTGAACATAAACTTAGATATTCAGCAATAACTCATATTATGTTATAGGGTTGCACTGGAGAATGGAAAAGGATTGGGAAAAAGAGACAGAACTCAAAGAATTGTCTCATATATGAAAAAGGATAGCTTAACTTTTTAGCGAAAAGGCCATGTGTAGCCCTCACAATAGACCTGGGATCCAAAAGTACCTAAGATTTTACATATCAACACTTTATCACACATCTTGTAGATGTCTCAAAAGGGTCCTTGCTGAAAGCCACCTATACAGGCTGCCATATACAGCTTTATAGATGGGTTTTAAATAAAACATAGTTTTTATGTAAGAGGAGACCTGGGGAAGAATGCCAAATTAAAACAGTGATCCTCAACCAAGGGTACTTTTACCCCTCAAATGGACATTTGACAATGTCTAGGCACATTTTTGGTTGTTGCCAAAATTTGGGGCAAATGTTACAAACACCTAGAGGGGTAAAGGTCAGGGAGGCACACATCCTGCAGTGCATAGGGCACCTTTAACAACAATTATTTTGTCCAAGATATGAATAATGTTAGTTAAGGTTGAGAAACTTGGTTGTAAAAGGAGAATTGGGCAATTTACATTTCAAATTATAATAAAAAAGTTTGCACAAAATGCAACTTAACTAAGTTGTCAATTTAATTTTTAAAATTAGTATTTATATACACATATATATTTGCCTTACACTAAACTGTATCCCACCTGTTCTCCTCCTCACCTCATACCTGAAGATAGATCTAGATGCCTCTGTCTTATCTGCCTTAGGGAAACTTTGGCCTGGACTGCATCATCGAAGGGCACTGGAAAGCCTTTCCTGCCTTGATTTTGGTGACATCTAGCTTGCAACCTGATGTTTTTTTCTATAGACTGATAGTTTATGTCCTCTCACAGCTGCTCTAAACTTACACCTAAACATTCTAATAAAGCATATTATTTGCATGACATATCAGTTGAATGAAAAGAAATCTTTACATAGCTCTTCTAACTAACATATTATAGATAATAGTTTTGTTGCTCTAATTACTCATTAAGGGTTTATATATAAAATAGGATCAATATAAAAATAAAACATTATTACTATCACTTTGGTCTATAATAAATACATTTATATAATCAAAGAACTAAAAGAAATTTATCTAGTCAAATTTCCTCTTCTCATATATAAAGAAACTGATACTCAATTTCTTTAAGTGGCTTTCTAAAAGCCACAAAGCTAAGTAGTAACTGAGTGAGAACTACAATTCTCTTCTCCTTATGTTAGGATAAAGCTTTTTAAATTTGAAAACATAAGTATTTCAGAAGCTCATTAATTGTAAAAATAATACATTCTTATACGTGGAAATATAAAAATTACATATATAACTACAACAAATATT